AACACTAGCAGTAAAATATTCTAAATTGTTTACATAGTCTATAAAATCTGAATAGTTCTGAACTTGTAATACTTACAATATAAGAATGTGAAACATAACTGTTAGGAAGGGGGAGGCCGTATATTAGAAAGAAAAATTATTTTACCAAAAATAGTTAAATTAATATTATCATTAAAAATGTTAATTTCCAGATCTAAATAACATTCTTGTAATGCAGAAATTGAAGTATTAAGAATTTTTAATTATATTGGGTGTAATCTTAATGAAATTAATTATTTCTGGATTATTTCTAATAAATTATCAATAGATCTATAACTTAAATCAAAAACATGTGGATTTATAAAGTTTTCATGAAGCTTATTTTCATAGAAATAATGTTATAAATTAGCTATACCAGTGGAATATTTAGCTCCCATTGGAACTTCTCTTACTTATTTGAGTACTTAATTATTTAGAAAAAAATAATTATTATAAATATACAAACTTTACATATGCTTTATATTTTTAAAGATAAAATGTCTTTTTTCAAGCAATATAGAAGGATTATATTACTATTATATTAATGAATTCTTAATTGAAATTTAATTATATTACATGTTATTCAACTACATGGTTTTCAGAATGTAAGTTGTAAGCACTTACTAAAGTAAAAGTTAAACATTTTCAAGTCAATTTAAAAAATATCTAATAAATAAGACATTTCTTCAATAAAAAATAAGATCCAACAATTACAAGAAATATACTCAGTTCTTCCCATAGATTAAGCTAATTGTAATTTCGGGTTTATTTGTAAAAATTATTAATGAAATTAATAGTATGCAAATATTTAAACTGGTTAACAAATGTAAGAATACAGTAATTAATAATTTCTTTAAAGTTCATAGAAAAGCTTTATTCCAAATCAAATCTTTTTTGGGATTTACCTTTCCTGTTTATTATACATAAGTTGAATAAATCTCCAATAAAATGTAGATTTATTTCCTGCTCAATGAAAAGAATTGTTAAACAAGCACTCATTATATTAAATAAAATACTTGATAATTTATTTGACAGAATTACAAATACATTTAATAATAATAATTGTGGAATAATTTCCAGTAATTGTGGAAGAACTAACTCTTCAAACATTTGATTTTTTTACTACATACAACATTTCCTTTGAAAAGTTTAATTTTATTCATGAATTCATTAATAGAACATAAATGTAATTCTTCTATATTGCTTGAAGAAAGAAATTTTACCTCTAAAATATAAAGTATACATTAAGTTTCTGTATTTATAATAATCATATTTTTTTCAATATTCGGGTATTTAAACAAGTAATAGGGGGTTCCAAAGGGAGCTAACTATTCTACTTGTATAACTAATTTATAACTTTATTTTTAATAAATTTTCAATTTTTCAACACGTTTATTGAAAACTTTAAACCCGGATGTTTTTGCTTTTACTTAATATAAATAATCCATAAATATTTAATTATTAACACTATATACCCAAGAGAACTGGTAATTGTTATTTCAATTTCTTCATTAAAGCACATTATTTAAATCTGGAAATTAAAATACTTAATAATATAATTTTAAATATTTTTGAGAAAATAATTTTTCTTTTTCAATATACAGTCTCCCCCTTCTTAACAGTAATGTTCCACATTCTTCTATTATAATTATTAAAAGTTCACGACTACTCGAATTTTATAGACTGTGTAAACAATTTAGAATATTTTACTGCTAGTGTTGAAATATTGATACAAAAATTAATAATTAATTGATTTTATAAACAAACATTAACTACATTTATTAAAACACTTTGTAACAAATATAAAAAATTGTTACATAAATATCATGAAGTAAGAATTAAATATACTGTGCTTAAAATTTGTGAAATGTTTTAGAATTGTTTTTGTTTTCGACAAGAAACTCTTGGCACTATTTTCATGCATGTATTAACATGTATAAATACATAAGCTCGTATAAAATGTTGAAGAATATTGAAAGATGAGTAGCTACAATATAATTTATGGGTGTCTTACTAGCTTAAAGAACCCATTAAAGATGTTATTCTAACATATTTGTTTCTGTGCTACTAATACCATATTAATTTCAGCTTTTACTACCATATTGGGAATTGGAACGTCAAATTCAAGTGGCATGATTTCCTTACTTACTATCCCCAATGGTAGGACTTTCTTTCTCTTTTCTTATTTATTTTTCAATTCTTTTCTTCTGAGAACAGTCACCTTCTCACAACTGTCTGCAGGCAGTGAAGGGTGATATAGATGTGGGACGTTGTGGGCTTGAGCACCTACATGTTACTCTCATTTATCTTTTTTTAGTTAGTTTACCCTCTTATTATTATTTTTCTTTATACGTGAGACTTTGCAAATGGAGGTTAGCCTAATCGCGAAATGTTTGTATTAAATTTTAAATACTGTAATACGTTGGATAGCATTTACTTAACATGTGCGTTTTTGATATTGTCAGTTTCCACACAGACGGGAAAGTGCAGTCTCATATACGCAGATAAGGATTCATATCATTTGTCTTTGTAGTATACCTTTCGAAGTGTTTATAGGATTCATATCATTTGTTATTGTAGTATACCTCTCGAAGTGTTTATAGGATTCATATCATTTGTCTTTGTAGTATACATTTCAAAGTGTTTATAGGATTCATATCATTTGTCTTTGTAGTATACATTTCAAAGTGTTTATAGGATTCATATCATTTGTCTTTGTAGTATACATTTCAAAATGTTTATAGGATTCATATCATTTGTCTTTGTAGTATACCTTTCGAAGTGTTTATAGGATTCATATCATTTGTTATTGTAGTATACCTCTCGAAGTGTTTATAGGATTCATATCATTTGTCTTTGTAGTATACCTTCGAAGTGTTTATAGGATTCATATCATTTGTCTTTGTAGTATACCTTTCGAAGTGTTTATAGGATTCATATCATTTGTCTTTGTAGTATACCTTTCGAAGTGTTTATAGGATTCATATCATTTGTCTTTGTAGATACATTTCAAAGTGTTTATAGCAATAGATGACAAAACCCCTAAAACTCTAAAAAAAACACTGAAATATAAATGAATGTCATAAATAATTTCAGCACTAAACCTGCATCAGGTGAAAAATTTCGCCGTGCTCAACCAGCTGAATGAAAATATTAGTTTTGGAAACAGATAATACAACTAAGTGCATAACTGAAACTAGAAATTGATAACCCGCGAGGTGAAAATATAGTATGTTAAAAATGTTTGTGAACTTTTACAAATATGATATTAAAAATACCAAAAACAAAACGAGCGAAAACACGTTTCAAGAATAGTATACAAGTTATTGAAAGGGTTCCAGTTTATGTACAGGTTAAATACTAGCCAATCATTAATCATCAGTTTAATACTTTCGTTTTGAGTTTATTTACTAATTAAGTATTTTATTACAGCTTTTATAGTAAGGAAGATTCTTTTTAGAACAGGTACGATGTTTCGATCACTGGTGCGGTCATTCTTAAGTATACAAGTTTTAATTGTTAGATTGTTGATTTAAATACTAAAACCTTCTTTATTGTTAAAACTTGTGTGCTTGAGAATGATTGCACCAGTGATTGAAACGTCGTACCTGTTCTAAGCGATTGAAAACGTCGTACCTGTTCTAAGTGATTGAAAACGTCGTAGCTGTTCTAAAAACAAATCTTCCTTACTATAAAAGCCGTAATTTGTAATAAAATACAAAACAAAAAAAAACATCAGTTTAGATTATTAATAAATCTCCACTTACCGTACCGAGTCATCTTCTACGAAAGCATGCAGGGTTTAAAATTCAGCTTAATGTTTTTCCTCAGTATTATTAAAACAATTTCTTGAAAATAAATTATCTTTCAAAATATTTTATGATATATATATTTGTATATATAATGTTTTGAAAGATGTACATATATGCATTATTTATCGAAGTTTATGTACTTTATTAAAATACAACGTCTAGTGATACAACTAATATAACATTTGGTATTTTCAACCTGAACTACTTCTTATGCAACGCATGTGAGAAATGAATAGGTCATACACCCTCAGGTTCAAACATAGTCATTCCTAACTTTGAACTGCAGACAGTAAGAGGACAATCAATCAGCAACTCCTATAGCCTACACGACTATTTTTAATTGATTGACTGTCACGGCTATTTACCCTCATACATATTTGGAGTATTCAGAAGTACAGAACTAACCAATTCTTAGTTCAACACCTTAATCACTAGGCCACACCCGACCCAACATATCACTAGTGTTAGAATCTGTATTTTGACTTAAATTTCTTTATTTTTTCTATCAATTTTGAGCAATTTATTAATTGGAACTGCATGTCATTAAACATTAATTGAAGAAGATTCTTAAAAGATTTTTTTTTTAGATATTCAACCATTTACGATACTGAAAATATAAATAAAACTACTGTCTAAGAATTGAATATCTGTATGACCTCTGAGCTATGAAGTTAAACTCCAACAACCTGCTGAGCACATTTCAATAAATATACAACACGTTAAGATTACGAAACTTTAAGCCAAATCCATGGTGTTACAGTAATTGTATCAATATATACAAAAATTCTACAATAAATACTACATACATATTGGTGAAACGTTAGTTTATATCTTTAACATATATTTGAAGTCAAATATAATCATTAATGAAACACAAAGAAAAGCAACAAAAAGTGTTCCGAGATATTCTGACCACCATAAGATGTTTCGTGGACAACGTACGATCACTTCTACACAACTAACTATATTTATCGTCGAGCGTTCTGTTTAGCTAGCAGTATAATACCGTTTATTTCTTAGCCGATTTTTCAGTATCTTAACACAGTTATGTACCAAAACATTTAAAGTTTCTTGATATGGTTAAATTTTGTGATATACTGATATATGTGTATTCTAACCTTTGGATATATGTGTATTCTAACCTTTGGATCTTTGTTCTAATATACTAACCTCAACCATGTGAACATTAAGTTTTCCATTGGGGTCGTGGTAGGAACCGTTCACGGTGTAATACTTTAACCATCGTACGTAAGGGTGTAGATCGCTGTAAAAGCGACACTCAAATCTTGCCTGCTGTCCGACGTATACTGTCTGGTTACTAGGGTAACCATCTCGGATGAGAGGGCTGCCTACCAAACGTTCTGAAAAGATAAAAAAAAAGAAAGAAAAAGAATGAAATTTTAAACAAAGAACGTTTTTCCGCATAACACTATGTTCTACGTTGGGTAGCCTATTTTATAAGAACAATTAATGAGAATAAATATTTAAACATTATTGTCATGCTGAGCAACAAGTGGCTAGAAAGTTTGAAAATATACTATTTAGGCACAAACGACTAATATATTTATATGTTATTAAAAGTATTAAGTAATAAATATTTAGAACATTTAGAAAATTATCTTTCTTTAAAGGCGGATCTATACAACATTAAAGTTATTTCAGTGCATCAGTCCTTGAGATGTGACTTTATGCTAAAAGAGCCCTGAAAATATTTAATCAATCTCTACTTAACGAAAAACAGTGTAGAAACGTCATATTTTCCCTGACTGGTAACAAGAGGGAATCCTCAATAGCCGCAACTCTTGAAATTCTTTTAGGCAGGATTAGAGTGGATTAAATTATGAGGCCTTTTTTATTTTTCCTTTTTATTAGCTATATTTTTGTGCGCCAGCAATATCAAGCGTGGGGCGCGCGTATACCCGATTCGATTTTATTACTCATCAGGACCTTTACCAACCTACCTTCAAATTTAAATTAGTTTAGGCAGGATTAGAGTAAATTAATCTATGAGACCTTGGGCAAGGTCAAATAAATCAATCAAAAGAGTTTGACTTTCCGAGTTCAAAACTGTAATTAGATCTCAAATCGGTCAAGAGATGGCGGAGCTATGAGCTAAAAGTTTGTACTTTAAATATTCAAAGCCGTTCTATTAGCCGTTATGCCGCAGCTAACAAATACTCCTAGTCACAATATGGCACTCTTTAACACACTGGGAAACTTTAAACGACATGTGTTTTAGCATCTTACTTTTATACAAATAAAATAAAAAAAATACTAAATTATATAGAAATTGGTGGAACAATATGTTGACTTGATAACACAAGATAAAGGATGATGATGACAAAACCTTGTCGAAACGTTGTACATTTGCTGTTGTGTTAAACTTGTATTAAAGTTTTTCTTCAGTACCCATTCAAGCCGTCTCCAGCCATTACAAGATAAAGGCATTTAGAGATTAAAGATAAAAAAGAATATTCGTATAAAGGAGTGAAATTAAAACAGTAAGACTTTACGTAAACATACGAAACGCACCTTGAACTTCAACTTTAAAAGTCCACTTGATTTTTCCCTCACTGTTTTCCACCACACAAGAATAATTTCCACTGTCATGAGGTCCAACAGTAGTTAGTGTGATGTTCCATCTCTTGTATATCGTCTAAGTGACACACGCATCACATTAAAATATTAAATTACATTATTAAATTACATTAGCTAGTAATGCTAAAAATACAATAAATTGGTTAATAAATTTCAAAACTAACATCCATACCTTACCGATATTATCTTAATATAACCGTTTTTTAATTACAGTGAAATGTTATATTTATATAGATTATTGTATGGAACACTTTAACAATGTTATTAGTAACATTTGAATATAGTGTAATTATTAGAGCATCTAAGGATTTTTTTTTCGTTCGCCTGTTTTAATGAACATTTGAAAGTGATTATCGATAAATTGTGGAATGCTTGTTATTTTAAGACCAAATATTGAAACAATCACATTTATTAGAATTTTAGCCAAACATTTTTCTTAGATGTTTGTCTTTTACACATAAAACTGAAAGCTTTTCCAGGAACTTGACTTTTAATTTGATATTCAAAAATACCAGAATTTTCATTCACAACTCACACACACTATCACTGAGTGAAATTTCGTTGAAATCTGTCTAGTATCTTTTAGTTACTGTCCTCATCTTCTCACACTAATAATCATAGGCCTTCCACTTTATAAAAATATATGGGATTAACATAGGCTAAAGCATGCTAACTCATAATTTCACATCTTTACATCATAGTTACTAGCATAAGAAAGGGACACTTACCTTTTTGTTCATGAAACGAACTATTGGTCTAGAATTCTTTGCCCATGTAATGTTTGGCTTCGGAGAGCCTTCTGCAGGGCATGAGAGGGTCACGTCCGTTCCAGCAGGAACAACGATCAGATCTCTGGACATCATTTCTGGCTCAGTAAAGAATGGCGACCCTTAAGTTGAAAGAAGAAAATTTGATTAAGTAACTTTATTAACAAGTAAAAACAGGTAGTACAAGTAAACGTTAATGTCGCATATTACTTGTAATCCTTTTAATGTTATTTAATACGTTCTATAAAATGTTTAATAAACTTATCAGTAAAAATTCTCTTTCACAGAAAATGTGTTCTCTTAACCAATAGCCTGGCATGGCCAGGTGGTTAGGGCGCTTGACTCGCAATCTGCGAGTCGCGGGTTCGAAACCCCGTCCCACCAAACATGCTCGCTCTTTCAGCCGTGTGGGCGTTATAACGTGACGGTCAATCCCACTATTCGTTGGTAAAAGAGTAACCCAAGAGTTGGCGGTGGGTGGTGATGAGTAGCCGCTTTTCCTCTAGTCTTCCACTGCTAAATTAGGGGCGGCTAGCGCAGATAGCCCTCGTGTAGCTTTGAGCGAAACTCAAAGCAAAACAAACTCTTAACCAAATAGATGCTTTACTTCCCGCACAAACATAAAAAATATAGAAAATATCCTGCAACAGAAACATTAGCTGGACAAAATCGTACAGACTAGAACTTCTAAACACGTTCTAGAATTACATTCTAAAGATAAAGAAACTTTTAGAATAAAAACTTCAAATACATAAGATATTTTAGAACAGAAACATTAGCGTTGTCTTTACTTTTCCCACATAGAATATCAGATGTTCTGAAAGATCGTGGACCAGAAATTCTAAATACACAAAATTTCCTAGGGTAAAAATATTAAATTCAGGGTTGGATTAAGGACTTGAGTGGCCCGGGGCAAATTTTGTAGAGGGAAGAACTGAACTCCTTATATTTTGAGTCAGCTATTAATGTGAATTAAAAAGCTAATTAAATTTTTGCGGTTTAATATTTCTAGCTTTCATGCCCGTATCTATACGAAAATAATTTACAAAGACTTACTTGCTTTATAATAAACTTTTAGTACTTATTTGTGAGGTTCAACAATCATTCAGCATATAAATTCCGCATAAAAGTAAACCACTAACAATTACATTGTGCTTTTATGAAATAACATCCATTTCAAGCGATGGGTAAATTATGTACAAAATATTGATTCCAATATTTATATTAAATGACAACGATTTTTTTAAAGACAGAGCAGATATTTATGAAATAACAAAGTATAAGAACACGTTCGTAAGAAAAAAAAACTACAAAGTTTTAGGTTTATATGAAACTATTAAAATTGATATTGTCATAATGGCACAGTTGCAAACATTTGTATCGCAATGAGACATCCACTTTTAATTATTTTTTTTCTCTTGCCCCCCAGTTACACTGTGGTACATCTACAGACCTATAACGATGGAAACCAGGTTTTGATACCCATGGTAGGCAGAGCACAAAAAGCCCATTCTATAGTTTTTGCTTAACTACAAACTAATTACACTTACATTTCTAAGAGAGAAATCCAAAGTTCATTAAACCTTTTAAAGTAAAAATATACACAAAAATCTTTTAGTAAATGAAACTAAATTATCAAAACGCTGAAAAATATTCAACTATGCAAAAGTCCTAATCTAAAAACGCTACATTTGTCAGTACAGACATTTTAAAAACATAAACTCTAGAATAAAAACACAATATTTTATGATAAAAATTAGCATATATGAAATGTTGAAAACCAGAGTCCCTTCAGAACAGACTCTCTTAACAAACGAAACTTTCGGAGACAGACACTAAGTACACAAAACATTTATCTCACAAAACAGTTATTCTAAATACATAAAACCCTGTCCTTTCTGAGCATTCTAAACTGTCATTCTCAAGTGAGACAGGAGAACTACAACGTCACTCTTTTACGTATTCGGGAACAAGCTTTGATATTACTCTCAGACGTAGTGTAACAAACTAAGAGATGTGAAGTGAACAAGTGAATGCGCCAGTTGGCGTGACACTCTCAGATTGTGTCACTCCATGTGAATACACATTCTGATGAATTCAAACGAAAATGAATATTCACACATTAAAACTTTGTACAGATTGTTTGGATAAGTTTGCAAGATCTGGGTAACACGTGTTTATGTAGCTTGTGACTTCGCCCAGTCTTGCTTCACATATTTATCAACAGATCTGGCATAATAGAAAAACTTACTTAATTTGCCTGCAGACACTTCTGGTACAGAAACCACATCTGTCACAGCTTTTGTTGGTGAAGAAAACTCTGTAAATAAAAATAAAAACGTAGCTAATTAAACTCATAATGAAGTAAAGCCATTTCGTAAGCGTATACTGGAGGTCTGTTATACCTTCGTTCATTAGCAGATCATTACTTGATGCTCAAAACATTTTCGTTACTCAACAGCAAATTATTAGATATTGGAGACGCTTGTTGTTCAACTTTATCATATTATATAATCTATACAGACATTTTTTGTTCAATAGTAAATTATTAGATATTGAAGGCATTTCTTGTTCGACAGTACATTATTAGGTAATTTAAATTATATCGAATAACAAAAAGATATTATTAGATGTTATAAGCGTCTAGCCTTAAGCTTTACTCACAACACTGTTCTATGCGTTTGTACTTAAATAGTACGATATTAAATGTTCTAGACATTTATTACTTATTAGACATTCTATATATTCATACATATAATAATACGAAGTTTTATAGACGGTTGCTCCTCAGTATTACTTTGTAAGATGTTCTGAACGTTTGTCGTTCAACAGTATGATAAATAATTTGGACGTTTGGAACTTTTTTCAACAATATGTTATTTATGAAGTAAAACAATTGCCACGAATAGAACATTAGCGACAATACCTTCTTAGACAAGGTTTTAAGAGTGTTATCATTTTCACCAGTAACACTATATACATGTTTCTATAGGTATGTTTAAAATTCTATATATCGCTCAATCTAGCATGTTTGAGACCCACCCTTTAACTAATAAATGAAAACTACAACAAAGATTTTATGCGTTACTTCGAATAACCGTCTTGTGTAATTTCTTCATATGAAATGAGCTATTCATAGGTAATTGAATACTATTTCTGTACTATTTTGCTTTGCCAAATTCCTTTTTTGCTTTAAAGAAGTAATGGTTGGTGTTGAAACATTTGCAAATAAATGAGATATCGTTCTATGACAACATTATAGTTCTCTGTGTTACCATTGTTTCCTTCATAAAATTCTGCTATTATACAGACGTTATTGAGAAATAACATGTGCCTTGCCTGCCAGAGAGAGAGTAAAATTTTTCCAGATTTCTCCAAATCGATTGTAGGCCTTACAAGCGTAGACTCCAGCGTCTTCGGGTTGGAAATCTAAGATGATAAGACTATGCCGCTTCAGCAGCACGTGGGACAACACACTAGATACTGGCTGATTGTTGTGATACCACACTAAATAGGGCTGTGGATTTCCACGAACTGGACATTGTAGTCTCACTTTCTGATCCTGAAACACTTCGAAATTTGTTGGTAACCTTTTTCTCCATCTTGGAAAATCTGGAAAAACGATCAAGAATACAGATGATTAGATAATACAGATGCAGCATATTTTGTAATTTACAGTGCTTCATACAGTAAGCGTTCCCAGTTTGTGAATCCGACTATTGCCTCAAAAAATGCACTCAGCGTTTCTAGGATGTGGGTACGCTATAACAATGACGGTGAAATCGATCAGACATAAATATTCAAGAATTGTTAACTAGCTGCCTTTCTCTTAGTTAGCCAGTTTAAAATTAGGGACTGCTATGCATAGATAACCATTGTGTAGGTTTGCGCGAATTTCTGAGACAAACAAGAGCTTTATTGTTGGCGTTCGATGTTAAATGTTGCTTAATGGGTAATATAGAATTTTAGTAAACTAATGAAATGTTAAACTTCAATAAAAAAATACATACGTCAAGTATGTTTTTCTGTTTTTTTCAGATACTAACAAGTAAAGTTAGTGTATGCCAGCGGACATGTGACAAGTATGAGGCAATTAATTCCTTTTGAAAGGTTTCTCTTTTTTTTTTTAAACATAGATACATAAGCACTTTAAACAGACACACATGTAATGCACTTTAAACAGACACACATTTAATACTGGCGTTGTTTGAAATTGAATATTATACTCTTCCGGTTATTAATAACAAGTTGTCATACGACTTTACTAGTATTATTTAGTAGTTTCATCAGTAATAAAAAGCTTAAATGTTATTGATTTTTTAGTCATAAACATGTAATCAAATTCAGTAATGTTTCTCAACATTGAAGTTGACTTGTTGCAAGAGACTTGGAAATTAAATAATAATCATACAGAAACTTGCATATTTAGTAGCCGTGAGCGAAGATATTTTTTATGTGCAAGCCTTGAGATGCTACATATAACGTAAACAACGTCAGAGAAGTTTATTTACCTCCTCGTGTCTGGTTTGTACTGATGTTGACACCAGACGTCAGCACCAGCATCCAATGTTTACCGACTGCCTACTGGATACAACTACCATTCCATGCAGCACACGTGCTTATGGACATATATATAAACATATAGATGGCAACGCGCAGGTTGGGAGCTTACCAGACACCACACACACACACATTTTATTTATTGAAATTAGCAAGTTTCATATATTCCAGACCCGCGAGACATTCTGCTCAAAATTAAAATTTACGATCATGCGCACATGTTACTTTATACACATTTCTGTTCTATACTCTCCCAAAAATACCACATAGTAAGTATTTTATATGATTAAGTATGTAGTATTAATTATAAATGTCTTAACATTTATGTGTTTCTACTCTACAGGTGTGATAGGCAGATTAACTTGTGTTTATCTGTAATAGGTGTATAAACTGAAATTATTTAAAAGCACACCAGCTAAAAAAATAATAAATAACAGTCCGATGTTTCGATTCCAAATAAAGTCTTTCATAAGGAGCTAACTTGTCCAATAAGGAGTTAGATGGGATTTAAAAAACAAAGAATTGTTTTGTGCTTAAAAACCAACAAAGAAACAAAACAAAGTTTAATATCTTTGTTCCACCACCTATTGGTTTGATTTCAATCGTTATCCTATATACCTGCGCAAAGATCCACCGATCTGTATTCTTAGTTAATAATTACGGACTTAATTTAGCGACGTATCACTCTTTTGTAAAGCATTTGCATGACATATTTTGGTCATTATCAAAGTTTTATATCTTTTCCAGTCGATGGACTGATCTGCAAACTATACTTTTCCGTGAGAGCAGGTTATGTTATTTTTATATTTTTTCTGCATGGTATTCAATTATAACTGTTAACAATTTCACGATTTTTCCAATATATTCCATTCAATAGTCTTGTCACTTCATTTGACGTTTTTCAGGAAATCCCTTTAATCTTTTAGATGAACCAACATCTGCTTAGTAGACGACCATGGTTTAAGATAACCTCTAATATTAGCTGAAACAAAACTTCTAGTGAGGATTTCACTTACTTCTTGAATGTAGGGTAAAAAAGTCATTTTTAATACATCTCTAATATAACTTAGTTCATTATGTTATTTATAGGATCATTGCAAATAGTGTTTGCTCTGTATCATAAATTTGTTACTGCTTATTTACAGGTGGTGTGCTTTTAAATATTTAAATAATTTCAGTTTAATACTTTTGACCCAGCTGTTGATATTTTAATTAATTGAGTAGTAGGAATTTGTTATATAAAGATGCTGACTTTCATCACTCATTCGCTACAACAGATTTGTGAAATCAGTATTTAAGTACTTGGAGCACATAGTACACTTCTAGATTAGTGTTTTACTGCAACGATATTCCTTCTTTATAACCTGCATATAGTACACTTATAGATTAGTGTTTTACTGCAACGACATTCCTTTATAAACTGCATATAGTACACTTATAGATTAGTGTTTTACTGCAACGACATTCCTTCTTTATAACCTGCATATAGTAAGTACACTTCTAGATTAGTGTTTTACTGCAACGACATTCCTTCTTTATAACCTGCATATAGTAAGTACACTTCTAGATTAGTGTTTTACTGCAATGACATTCCTTCTTTATAAACTGCATATAGCACACTTCTAGATTAGTGTTTTACTGCAATGACATTCCTTCTTTATAAACTGCATATAGTACACATATAGATTAGTGTTTTACTGCAACGACATTCCTTTATAAACTGCATATAGTACACATATAGATTAGTGTTTTACTGAAACGACATTCCTTTATAAACTGCATATAGTACACATATAGATTAGTGTTTTACTGCAACGACATTCCTTCTTTATAAACTGCATATAGTAAGTACACTTCTAGATTAGTGTTTTACTGCAATGACATTCCTTCTTTATAAACTGCATATAGTACACATATAGATTAGTGTTTTACTGCAATGACATTCCTTCTTTATAAACTGCATATAGTAAGTACACTTCTAGATTAGTGTTTTACTGCAACGACATTCCTTCTTTATAAACTGCATATAGTAAGTACACTTCTAGATTAGTGTTTTACTGCAACGACATTCCTTCTTTATTAATTGCATGAACTTAGAACAGTTTTAAAAGTTATTGATTCTATGATTATATGTAGATAAAACATGTGCAAGTCTGAGTGATGGTTGTCCTTTACTTATTCGGTGTGTTCAGATGTTATGTTTAGATTGTCAAATGTCACTTGTCAATTATAAATAGTTAAATCTAATCGTAACTCTATCTGTATCTGTCAAAGAATAATGCCATTAGTGATAAGAAATTATTTAAAATTTACAGAAATGTAAAATATGGACTTTCTTTGAGATATTTCATTCGGTATGATTATAACTCTACCTTACTATAACTAGTGCGCCTTATATAAATATATTCAAAATATTTAATTTTTAAGTTCCTGTAAGTATTGTGATAGTATAGACACGTGTTAAGACACATGAAGGTCGGGCATGGCCAGGTGTTTAGGGCGCTTGACTCGCAATCTAAGGGTCGCGAGTTCGAATACCTCTCCCACCAAACATGCTCGTCCTTTCAGTTGTGGGGGCGTTATTGTGTTACGGTCAATCCCACTATTCCAATAGCTGGCGGTGGGTGGTGCCTTTCCTGCTAAATTAGGAAACGGCTAGCTCAAAACAAACCAAACCAAGACACTATAATTTATGGTCATGTGATATGCGAATTTTATTAGTGTAACCCTTTTATAACTCAAAAAATTAATGCATATTTTGATCCAGGTATTCATTTCAAAATATTGGTAGAGAATATTTATATTTTGTTAGACGTTCTACGCGAACAGGACGTACCAAGCTGTGAAAGAAGCTAAACTCATCCTTAAACTGTCACATATAGTGAGGGTTAACGCACGACTATTTCTATATGTTGCCAATAAACTAGATAAATAATTAATTCTTTCCATCTGGCGAATTGGACATATGTTGAGAGAGACATGCGAGAAAGGTCACTCCTCCCCCTTGTTTTTTAAATAAAGACATTAGTGTCCTGGCATGTGTGTCGAGGTCTTCCCGAAAGTATTGGCAAAGTTTGGAGCTGAATACAGCTCTAGAACTACCATAGTTCTTCTGGAGTGAAGTGTGTCGAGGTCTTCCCGAAAGTATTGGCAAAGTTTGAAGCTGAATACAGCTCTAGAACTACCATAGTTCTTCTGGAGTGAAGTGTGTCGAGGTCTTCCCGAAAGTATTGGCAAAGTTTGAAGTTGAATACAGCTCTAGAACTACCATAGTTCATCTGGAGTGAAGTGTGTCGAGGTCTTCCCGAAAGTATTGGCAAAGTTTGAAGCTGAATACAGCTCTAGAACTACCATAGTTCTTCTGGAGTGAAGTGTGTCGAGGTCTTCCCGAAAGTATTGGCAAAGTTTTAAGCTGAATACAGCTCTAGAACTACCATAGTTCTTCTGGAGTGAAGTGTGTCGAGGACTTCCCGAAAGTATTGGCAAAGTTTGAAGTTGAATACAGCTCTATAACTACCATAGTTCATCTGGAGTGAAGTTGTCTCTTCTCCAGAGAAGCTGATCTAGATAAGAAATCATAATTTCTTAAGTTGAGAACGTGTCATTTCTTCTTTGTTTGCCTTGTAATAAAGTGTGTTTGTTCATGGTAAAACATATGTGCCTAATATCCATTTCTGCTACATAGTCGAGTTTGAATTATTTAAACTACGCAGACATTTTATAGGGAAGCTTCCAGTTTGCATAATTTGATACCTAGAGCACTTTAAAATACCATATAAATCAAGCAACATCTGTATCACATGTATGATGCACTACTCACCTCTTTGATGTGGCTTTTATACAATTGTTAAAGGTGGGTAATGAGATATTGCAATGACCAATTCATGTGAGCTGAATAATTAAGCTAGGAATTTGCAGTTTTGTTGGTCGATTCCGTAAAAAAAAAATACTTCAGTCTTGTTTCAACTTTCAAAGAATATAATATTGTCTTGTCTCGATATTTGTAAAAGTGAAATTATGTTGTGCTAGTAGCATTGTATCAGTTGTCCAAT